AAAAAACCGGAAAAAAAAACCAAAAGGGAAAAAAAGAAGAAAAAAAAGAAAGGGAAAAAAACAAACAAACAAAAAAAAAAAACCAAAAAAAACCAGGCCTGAGTTCTGATCCAGCTTTTCCAAACTTTCTGATTCCAGCCTCCTGATGGGTTTCATGGCTGTGACTGCCTTCCTGTCCATGTGGATCAGCAACACRGCCACCACTGCCATGATGGTCCCCATAGCRCAGGCGGTGCTGGAGCAGCTGCACCGCTCAGAAATCGAGTCCAGCGCCGTTGACCAAGGGTCTGAGCACACCAACAAAGCCTTTGAGCTGCAGGAAAARTCACCTGAGAGCCTCAAAGAGCCCGAGGAAAAAGGTGAGTGGGCTATGGGTCATGGGTTTTCTCTTTGGGATGATCTGATGCTTTCTCATGTTGAAAGATTCTCAGTAAATTCTAAAAGTAAATTCTGACCCTAAATCATCCTGACTGCATCATGCATGACTCTTCCACGAGCCAGACAAAACCACAGTGATCTACTGACTTGGCTGAAATAAAATCAAAAATGCAAACTACAAACTAACCAATAAACCGACAAAAAGTATAAATCCTCCACTAGGGGAAGCCTTTACATCAGGCTTGCCATTTCCCTGCATATTTATGTTGGTTCAGCTGTTATCTGCTGTGTAACTTATCAGATAACAGAGAATTCCTGAGGGAAAATTCCTGGCCTATTTCCAGACGGAAGGTTAGGGATTAAAAATGATCTTTCTAATCCAAAGGTACACAATCAAGCAGCAATATCTCTTTACCAGCTGTCTTGCCCTCTGCCCATCTTTGGGKTGATTCCAGTGTTTCTGATCATAAATCTCAGTGCCTGCAGACAGGTGCTGGTGCAGAATGAGTTCCCTTCTGCTCAGGTCCTCCAATTCTGTTAAAATTCCCTGAATTCTGCCACTCTGACTCCCCTCCATGCTCAATTCCCTCGTTCACCAGGGAATTGTCAGCAGCTGGTTCAAACTTCATCACACATTTCAAATTCTCCTCTGAAAAACTGCTCTGTGTCAAAACAACTCATGAAAACGGGCAGAGGGTCAAAGAATTAGCAATGCCAGCCTTAAAAATGAATAACTTTGGTTCCTTCAGCTTTTAATCTCATTTGTCCAAGCCTTGAAACACTGAATTGCACAGGCACAAGGCTTTTCCTGTCMGATATAGCTCCATCTTTTTTGATTTTTGGGATCTAGGTAACGCACACGTCCTGACTGTTGAGGAAGAGAGAAAGAGAAACGAAGAACTGATTGAGAAGAAACACCTGAAACTCTCCAAGGGAATGTCCCTGTGCATCTGTTACTCAGCCAGCATCGGGGGGATCGCCACCCTGACTGGGACCACGCCAAACCTGGTGCTGCAGGGACAAATCAACGAGTGAGTCTGGCTGAATGTGGGGTTGCACCAAATTCAAACCACTTTGATTTGGTTGCACACCCCAAAGTGCACCCTTCTGCTGGAGCTGGCTCCCAGGCAGCACGGGGAGAAGGGAAATGTCAATTTGGCCCCTTTTTCTGGGAAGTGAGCGTCTCTTCTCCTCCTTAACGTGCCTCACGGATCCTCCCCTTTTCTGGCTGGTTACTGAGACAGGAGAGAATTTTGGGTGGAATTTTGGGTTCTAACAGCCACCTGTGTTTTCCAGGATCTACCCTACCAATGGTGGCATCATCAACTTCGCCTCCTGGTTCTCCTTCGCCTTCCCCACCATGCTGGTGCTGCTGGTTTTGGCGTGGATTTGGCTGCAGATCCTCTATTTGGGCTTCAAGTGAGTACCCCCTGCAGCCCAGCTGATGGGGCTGAGATCAGGGACTCAAATTTAACACAAATTATCCTTTCATCGATGAGGAAAATCACACAAAAAAGTCCTGACGTGTAGCAGAGACCAGAATACGCGGTGTCTTTTACAATTCTGSAATTTTTTCCTCTCTGAATTGGATCAAATCTCATCTGAATGAGCCCTGTAGGTGAAAATAAGAAGTTCTGAGTGCACATGACCTGTTCTGCAGCATTGCTGTCGTGTCCTAAGAGGTTGCTGTGCTTCAAGGCAGGAAATTGATTTCTGCAGGGTTGCTTCAGAGCCAGAGGATTTGTTCTGTGTTAGTTCTGGTGCAGATCACTCAAAACAACAAACCTGCATTGCCTACCTGTTCAATACTCAGCTTATCATGTTTGCATTGTCACAATTTCCTTTATTTTATTTTCTTTTCTTTTATATATATATATTTTTATATATATATCTCAATATTTTTATATATTTATATATTTACATATTTTTTATATTTTTATACACTTATTTATATATTTATCTTTATATTCATATTCAGATTCACATTCACATTCATATTTATTTTATATTTATATACTATATACTATATACTATATACTATATATTTATATTTATATTTATATTTATATTTATATTTATATTTATATTTATATTTATATTTATATTTATATATAATTATATTTAAATTTATATTTAAATTTGTATTTAAATTTACATTTGGATTTATTTTATATTTTATCTTTATTTTATTACCCCGCTTTTCTTTATTGTACATGGAAAGAGTGCTGTAATGGTAATTTCATCTTCAAATTCCTTTTTTAAAATTCTCGTTTTCTTTCATTTTAAAAAATCTCAGCAGCTCTTTACTTCCTAGTGATCCAACAGYCTTGTAAATCACATTAACATTGTCCTGGTCTARTGGAAGGTGTCCCTGCCCATGGCAAGGTGTTGGCATAAAATGGAATTTAAGGTCTCTTGCAACCCAAAMCATTCAGTGATTCTATAATTTTTTYCCTCACTTTTTTTATATTTAAATCATGAGCTTTCAGGGTCAGGAAGATTTTTCTATCATTTTGTCAAGACATGAAGTTACTACTCACCGTGGCTGTTGATTATATTTAATTTCAATATTCAGATATAAAGACATGTAAAGACATTATGATTGAGTATAAAATTCGGATTCTTAACTCTGAATGCATTTGACAAATTTCTCTGATATTTCCTGCCCATTTTGTTGCAGTTTTAAGAAGAATTTTGGCTGTGCTGCCAGCCCCGCTGCCAAAGCTAAGGAGCAACAGGCCTATGACATCATCAAGGCAGAGAGCAAGAAATTGGGCAAAATGAGCTTTGCAGAAATTGAAGTTTTGATCCTCTTCATTCTCCTGGTCCTGCTGTGGTTTACAAGAGAGCCTGGCTTCTTCCCAGGCTGGGCAACGGTTCTGTTCAACACAGATGATACAAGGTACTGMCATTTCTCCTCATTTTGAGTAAAAATAGATTTAGGTTTTACCAGAATGAAAGCACAGCTGGTTAAAAATTCACTGTTTTATTGCAGCTATGTCACTGATGCTACAGTTGCCATCTTCATCTCGGTTTTGCTCTTCATCCTCCCTTCTGGTGGTTCCAGCCAACGCAGCGATGAAGAGCAAGAAGGTGAGTTACTGACACGTCAAAAAACAGCTGCCAGGGTAGGTGTGGGGGCAATTTTAGGTTTGCAAAGGAAATTTCAGATATTAGATAAAGGCTTCAGAGTTTTCTTCCTGCATAGTTACAGCTCTGTGCTTCAGGTTAGGCACAGATTCTGTAAAATTCTTTATTTCTCATAATTTCACTAAAAAAAGGGGATTATTATCCCAGCAGTGTTCCTGCCCCCATGCACATGGGTAAGGTATTCCAAGGCTGGAATCTTCAGGAGAAAATAAATGATTTAACAGAAATACAGAGAATTTTTGCCACATTTTTAACTTACCCTCACCTCCTGTGCTTCCTGGAGCRCGGACAGATCGCTCAGAGCTTTTACAAATCAGATTTTAAACCTTTTCTTGATGGTGCTCCCAGCATTGGCTTGGGGAGATAATTCCAGATGTTGCTGACAGAAGGGAATCCTGATGTTCAGACCAAACTAAACCCACCAAGAAATCCCCCTTTTCTTTGGAGAGTTCAACCAGGCTTTACAAAATCCTTTTTGGCTTCCAGGGGGCAGAGCGAAGTTCCGGGCGCCTCCGCCCCTCCTGGATTGGAAAATTGTTCACCAGAAGATGCCGTGGAACATCGTGTTCCTGCTGGGAGGAGGTTTTGCCTTAGCCAAAGGCAGCGAGGTAACATTCCCCGGCTCACCTGCARTTTCTGCCAGCTCTTGGTGCTGTCCCAGGACACAAGAGGGCACACTGGGAGCATCAAATGCTCCTTTTCCCCGATTTCTGGAAGCGGGAGCATCCTTGGGAGTCCTAAAATTAAGACAGATCCTTGCTGCTCCCCGGGCAATGGGATGGCACTGCCCATCAGGGCAGCACAATTCGAGGAAAGTGGCTGATTATGGAATTATCCCAGCACCAGTTAAAGGTTATTTTAAATAAAATTTAATAGACGCGGCCACCTCAAGGAGATAATGTACCCAGGAGCGGTTTCCAAAGTATTTCAAACCAAGGATTTATGGAAATAGGATTTWAAATAARCTATTAYAAGTGAAATGCAGGGCTTTCTAGAGAAACTGCAGGAGCAGGTTAAAACATCTGCAGGAGTCCAGTGCTACACGTTATTTTCCAGTAATTATTTAAGTGATGGAACAGAAAACACATTCATTGAATCTACAGGCAATAAAGAAATTCTAAAAGGCTTCAAGTGCCCAGAAATACTCGTTTAGAATTCAAAGATCAAAACTAAAATGTAAAAGTACGTGTTTGGGAAAGGACATATTTAAGAAATCACATTAATTTATTCTAGAATAAATAATCAAATGCATCAAAGCTGCTGCAGAAAGCCCAGAATGTCAGGGAAKATGCTGGTACTTCCCAGTGGACAAGGATGAAGGGTGTGAAAAGCTTCAGGTAGTTATCAGGATCTCACACAATGTGATGAAATTACATTAAATCATCTGACAAGATATATATAGAAATATTTCAGAAAATTAGTTTGAATATCTTTGCTTACATATAAAAAAAAAGCACCTCAAATAAAGCACATATAAAAAAAAAAAGCACCTCAAATATTGATCATGTACAACTAATGATCTGAATAGATAAATATTTATTTGCCTTCAATAATGCACTATACATGCAGTATCTTCTTCTTTCCAATTCCTTGGGAGGGAAATACTGTTTATTTTCATTTAACCCACTGAGCAATCCTGCCTGTGAGCTCTGTTTTCTGCAGACAGAAATTTGCCTGAGAAATGCCCTGAGAAGGGAGGGTTGAATTGAGAAAATTGTAATGAGAACTGCAACAGGACAGTGATGGGGCTCTTTCCTCTCCAGCCTGGCATCCCTGTTTGCTCTGTTGCAGGAATCTGGTTTGTCTGCGTGGCTGGGGACCAAACTGACCCCTCTGCAGAGCATCCCTCACCCGGCCATYGCCCTCCTGCTCTGCCTCCTCATCGCCACCTTCACCGAGTGCACCAGCAACGTGGCCACCACCACGCTCTTCCTCCCCATCCTGGCTTCAATGGTGAGTCCCAGCATYTCAAAATAATCCTACCATGACACTTTCCAGCTCCCYACTTRAAAACTGGCTGACAAATCCAAGCASTGGTTCCTTATCCCARTCAGGRRTACAARACTTRRAACAMAAATATRAGTATGTGCGTGCATATATAAACACACAGTGTGCTTAGTTCAACCTTTCTGAAATCACTGCTGGTGAAAAGCAAAGGGATTAAATCCATTGGCATATTAGACTTTGCCTTCTGGCCTAAACATGAGGTCACTGCCAGCTGTACTTGTTTTTTCCAATTTGTTCTGCACGGAGACAGCACCAGCATTTGCTTCCCTGCAACATTCCATGGATGTATTTCACCCCCACCACCGGCCTTCCAGGAGTCTCTGAGGGTGATGGCATGACCTAATTCAGAKTTTTGCATTTCCACAGGAGGTTTCTGTTGCTGGGATAGACAGAGTTCTGCACATTGAGAAGATGATTTTGGATAGAAACTGAAATAAGCTCCTGCAAAATCTTTCTGAGCAATRCCCTAAACCCAAGCACTCACCTGCAGAGCTTCACCTGCTTCCCCTGATAATTTAATTCTGTTCTTAACCAGTTTGAAACCAGGCTTTAGGCTGAAAATAACCATTATTTATCCATTTATACACCAGAATCAGAAACATGAAGCCCTGACCACAAAATCAATTCTTGCATTTGCAGCATGAAGACAMTGAAAGTGTCTAAAGCAGCTCCRAAACATGAGTGGCTGCWGTGTTTGGGKTTTCTGACATGGAGAAGTGAATCARTTTTCTACCAAAATGTTTCTGTGAATTTCTGTGTACCAAAAYCATCCATTCTGTTCTCTTTTTGTGCACAGGCTGAAGCAATTTGCCTCAACCCTCTCTATGTCATGCTGCCCTGCACGCTCGCTGCGTCCCTGGCGTTCATGCTCCCTGTGGCAACTCCTCCCAATGCCATTGTCTTCTCCTATGGACAGCTCAAAGTTATTGATATGGTGAGAAAAAAATCACTTTTTTCCAGAATTTTCACCTCTAGGTTTGATCTTCATTTTTTTTTTTTAATACTGGTTCTTCTTGGGGGGATGTTAAAAAAGTCACAGTGCCTGCCTTGTGTTGAATGGAGAGAAGATGTGTGGGTATTAATAAAGGGTCAAAATGTCTCTTAACACACTCTGAGAATCTCATAAAGGTKCTATTGAAGGTTAGAAATTATTAAAGGTGCTTTTTAAAGACCAGCCAGGGCGTCTTGCAGATTTTATAATAAGAGCTGTCAGTGTCTAAACTGCTTGAAAAGCCCAAATGTAGAGCTTAAGAGTGTCAAAGAGCCTTGTCACCTGGACAGCCCTTCTGAAGGGACAGGGAACAGCCTGGCACATCTCACTGGGTGCCCTGATGATCCAAGAAATCACTAAAAAAGCAAGGACAGCAATGCCCTGTCTCTTGATAGCTYTTCTAACTTATAATTGATCCAAGGAGAAACCCGAAGTAACATTAGAGAGAAATGCCAGGTAAGAGGAGAASTGGATCTAAAGGACTTTAGGACTTCTAATTTTAAGAGTTTTATCCAATTTATACAAATTATATTTGTGAAGAAAACCAACTTAAATACAATTTGATGGATTTGTGAAAAAAAAGGCCGAAGGGCAAATCAAACCCCACAAACACTCCTGACCACCAGTGAAGGACAAAAGTGCTCAGGGCTGCTAACAACCCTTCTCTTTCAYYGTTCTAGGCCAAAGCTGGGTTTGTRCTCAACATCCTGGGAGTTCTGAGCATCACTCTGGCCATCAACACCTGGGCTTCCCCCTTGTTCCAGCTGCAAACGTTCCCCTCGTGGGCGAACAAGACAGGGAGCTGCGCGTAAGGTGGGGAGGAAAAAGCCACAACTGCTCCTGTTGGAGCTGCAGCGAGAGCTGGACTATCCCCCCAGAGGCAGAGGGTCAGGGAAAAGCCTTTTCTCTGCAAAAAGACCAGCAAAATCATCCCTTTGATGACAGCAATGAAATGGCCCCGTTGCTGTTCTGTCGGCGGTTTTGTCCCCACAGTGGGAGGACGAGGTGACTTTTGGCTTTCCAGCCCTCCCAACCTTTACATTTCCTGCCTCTGCAGGGGTGGTTTTTTTCCTCCCAGTGCTTTTCCAGCGAGTCTGAAATCTGCAGCAAGGAAAAAGAGAGGTGAGTGAACGCATAAAAGGAAGGAGAGAGACTCTGGGTTCCTGATTTCATGCACAATCTGTGCTGTCACAACTCTTCACCTGTGTCTGTGGACATGTTCAGGGTGTACATGATTGTTAAATATTCTGTGGGCACAGCAAGGTTTRTGTCATGTGATTACAGAAAAATCACTGTCAGCCCATCCTATTAACTTAAAATATATTTATTTCCAGTCCCCTTGTTAGAAATGTAAGATTCTTTTTTCTCCCAGAACAATTTACCTGTTGTTATTTATGTCAGATTCCAGCCTGCAAGGTTATAAAAAGACCTTTCCTTGAGAAGGAGAGAATTTCCTGTATCCTAAAATATATATGATTGAATAAAGATTTTTTTTTTTAATGTACCACTCTGTTCTGGAGATTTTTTTATTATTATTTTTATTTTTTATTTTTATTATATACCACTGCTTCTGTCTTCCATGTATCCACTGCTTGTCTGTGTGCTCACTTGCAGTATCTTYAAATAATCATAACCAGCATAGCTGATTTTCTCTTATCTTTAAAGTAGTAATTATGTTGTTATTATTATTATTGTTGTTATTATTATTATCGAGTCCAATTTTCTTGGAATGTTCAACCCAAGAATTTCCTTTATAAAAACTCCTTTATGTAATCCTGTCACATATCTAATCCCCATTCTGCTGGAGCTGACTTTCAGCAGCAGATAAATTCCTYATGACTGAACTGACAAAGGAATATCCGAAGGCACTTTGCCAAAACAATCTCTCAGTGCCATAAATGAGGCTGGGATCAGACAGAGCAGTTATTCAATGTGTGTCCCTGAAGTTTGCACTGAAACCTTTGTTCTGCCTAAATTATACACAATTTTTCATGTCTGAAATCCCACTCTGGTTCCATGAGAGTGAAAATGCAGGGAATTTCACTCTAAAACAGTTCCTACTCTTCAAAATCTTTCTTCTTTCTTTCTCTGCCCTAATTTTTAGGAAACAAGGACAGCATGCAGTGTTATTTTGACTTACAAAATGTCAGAATTCTCTGATTTGCAGCTGTTTCTTTCCAGTTCTAAATATCAAGACAATTCTGGAATCTGCTGGTCATTGATCCCTCTGCACTGCTGGTTCTGGGAAATTACAAAAGYGCACAAAATTCAGTGGTTTTGACAGAGAGTGTTTTAATTCGATGTGAGATAGAGATCCAGCAGAACATCCACAGCTCCAGAAGGAAAGGCATTTATTCCCTGTCACTAATGAGCTCCTAACTGATTTCAGTCACATCATGACTCGCTCAGGTCACTGCTAAACCACTCTCCTCTCCCTTTGCATTCACCTCTATCAAACAACACCCAAATCTCTCTAAATATTTTCATTACCTTGTGTCTGAGCGCCTAAAAATGACAAAACTCCAGCAGATGATTTGSTGAGAGCCTCTCCCTTCTCCCTCTCTTTGTCTCCAGCACCAGGGCAGCCCGCTCTGCTTTTGTTTGCTTTTTGTTTTCTTTGAAACACTCGCCCAGACTTTACATGCCCTCCTAAATTACTGCTTAGCTAAGCAGGAAAGGCKGAATTCTTCTAACATTTCCCGTCGGCCTCTCCTTCCAGCCCTTTTAAAACTGTGTTATGGCTCTTTGAAGTCTTTTCTATTAGTCTTGCATTATTCAGAGGTTGTGGTGTGCAGAAAGTACCTGCAGGAGCACAGGTGCAATCTYCATGACAATCTCCAGAAGGAAGGAGGGAGATATTGAATAGCACAGAGGGTTTTGGGGTCAGTGCATTCATGTGGGTGAGCACACAGAGATTTATCAGGGAATATCTGCGGTGAAAGTTGCTCAAAAGGTGCACAAATGCCCAGATTCTGGGAAAAAA